CGAGAACTGGCTACAGATTCAATATCGAGGAACTGTCGATACGATCTGCTTCGCGTTATCAATTCCATCCAGGATCTCTCCCTTGGAATCCTTGGAAACGTTCTCCATTTTTTTCTTCCCATTGTGAAAGTTTAATTGTCGTGGAAAGGTTTATATAGACACATGGTCTATTGCTGTATCCACGGTTCTCGGTAATTTTGCTGGATGCAATGAAATGTTATTTAACATACAATTTTAATTAATTTTGACCGGTGTATGGTATTTGCTGTTTGAACTGTGATACCGATTATTATCTTTAATGGATTATTTCAATTATTCTCAGTAAATAACTTGGAACATTGGTTAATTGTGTAGATCAATTAGGTTGGGTAAGTGGTATGAATTATTGCTCAATACCGGGCATTCTATTATTCCTTTCTAAGACAGTTTGTGTTACTGTTCAATTTATTGCTTTGATTTATGTTGATAATTAAATATAATTGACTTCTTGTCATTGGCATTCTATGTTTCGTTATATAGGATTAGTTTTTCTACATGTATTCCATTCATTTTTCAAAATAGCGTTATAGTGTCATTTGCACTATAACTTCCCTAACTTAAGGAATTTCAGTTTCTTGACTTAATTGTCAATAATTCCAAGAATTGTTACTAATTATAAGATTTTAAGAAGTTCTACACTTTCAGTGATCTTTGGAACTCGTTATAATAAATATTTCATAGCAAGGAAGTTCATAAATTAAAAGCTTTCCACATTAATTTATTTCTACACCTCCTTACAATGTATAAACGTTATAATTCAGGTCCCTGTATTATATTATAATAATATTGTTTAAACTCGAAAGACGTTAATTCGTATAATCCATAATGGGTGTATTTAAATATAAAGATATTTACAAGCTACATAAATATATATTTCCAAAATAACCACAAAGTACAATATTTTAATTCTGACCCATTTGATGTTTAACGTTCATTTGTTTCTCACAGTATTTAGACAAACGAATAATTCGTATTAAATGAAATTATTCGCTGCTTGAAATGCTTAATTTTCTCTAGATTTGTCATTACCGAAAATAGATTTTCCAATTCAACATACGATTCTGTATACGAATTTCGGCAGAATATCGCGTAAAAAATTGGCAACTAGGAAATGTGAGATTGTTACCAGATACCTCGTTCTGTTTAATCCGCATACCGGTTGAATCGAGTTATTTCCGTTTGCACCTAATTATCAAAATTGAACTGTGTTTCATTGATATTCCATTTATGCAAAAGATTAAGTTGATGCAGGATGAACATATAAATGCCTCGCAATAGAACGTTTCGAGGTGTGTTCGAAATAAATGACGAATGTGTTGTATCTCAGAACTGGATGCAATTCAGTGAATTTTCTAGCTAAAAATCGCCAGGCAATTCTCAGTAGAAATATGATTTAAAAAGTTTCCAACTGTAACTTCATTTGGAATGCTTACTATTGTAGAGATGGGAGGGGACAACAACACAAATAATACTAAAACTATTTATTAATCCTAACAACACGTTTATATTCGCAACACTAATACACCTTTCTTCACAACTCTCTCTCTGAACTCTCCTATACTACACGTACCGCGACCGACTTCACACCCTCTCTCTCTCTGTCACTGACTGACTGACTGACTGTCCACTCACGCCCTTGCATCCCTTTTTAAAACCATCCATTCTAACCTCTTTCATACCTATTCTCTCTTTCCAATCACACTTTCCCACACACTCCTCGCAATCTTACCCTCAGCGGGTCACTCAGCCCAAACACTCGAACGCATTCCTAAAGCCACTCGATACATTCATAAACATCCCGTTCACACGATCCTAGCGCACGATCATTCATCCTTTCGCACACACTCTAGATAACACTCTCATCCCGCGATACCACACTCGGCCCTCCTGACTTGAACATCTGTCCTCAGATGTTCCGCTAACACTGTCCCCGTTTTCCGCCGCACTTCTTTAAAAAAAAGCATTGTCCAATTTCCCTGCCAAATTGACATTATCGTAGACACCCGATTTGGTCGGAGACGACTACGGTCAAAAACCATTCTGCACCTCTCGCCGTCGCTGTACCAATATCTTCTCTGGGTGCTGATAGTTGTCCCGGTGCTTCGCCTCCTCGTCTTCACCCTCTTCCTCATCCTTGTCTGTGTCCCTATCTTCGTTTTCGTTGTCGCTCCTCTCATCACTCGCACCATCGCCCTTCCCATCATCATCGCTCTCGTCTTCGGCCTCGCGGTCTTCGCCCTTGTCCTCGTGATCTGCACCCTCGGCTTCATCGTCTCTCGCGCTCTTGTTCTTCCAACCGTCTTCGTCCCCGTTATCTTCATTCTCGTCTTCGTCCCCGTCATCTTCATTCCCGTCTTCGTTCTCGTCTTCGTTCCCGTCTTCGTTCTCGTCTTCGTTCTCGTCTTCGTTCTCGTCTTCGCTCTCGTCTTCGCTGTCGTCTTTGTTCTCGTCTTCATCGTCGTTCGCGCCATCGGTCTTTTCATTGTCCACGTACCCTTCTCGCCTTCGTCCTTATTTTTGTCCTTGTATGCGCCCTCGTCTTCGTCTTCATCGTCGTCCTTCCCGTCGCTCGCGTCATCGTTCTTTCCATCGTCCTCGTCTTCGTTTTCATCGTCGCCCTCGGTCTCATGGTATTCTCTCTCGTCTTCTTTCTCGTTTTCATTGTTGCTCTTCCCGTCGCTCGCGCCATCGTTCTTTCCGTCGTCCTCGTCATCGTTTTGATCGTCGGCTTCATCGTCGCTCGCGCTCTTGTTCTTCTAATCGTCTTTGTAGACGTCTTCGCCTACCGTCTTTCCTCCTATCGCGATTGCCAGAACCGCTTCCTGCACCTCTTCACCGTCGCTTGCTTGCGGCAACCCGTTCGATCCTGCGTTCCTCTTCTGGATCGCGTCGGTCTCCCCGTTCCTTGCGTGATAAAAATCCAAATATTTCTCTCCTTCGTCCTCACTTTGGTTCTCACTTTCGTCTTCAACTTCGTCTTCAACTTCATCTACAACTTCGTCTACAACTTCGTCTTCAACTTCGTCCTCAATTTCGTCTTCAATTTCGTCTTCAACTTCGTCCTCAACTTCATCCTCAACTTCGTCTTCAACTTTGTTCTTGAAACGAGCTGTTACCCACCTATGTCCGAATTCTGATATAAGTTTGCTCTTAAATTTTTGCCATCATCCACCCATGCCTGCATACCGAATGAATATTTGTGCGGCTCCACGAAGTAGCCTTCTGGTGTAACAGACCTTTTGCCCCTCGCACCATTCGCAATCTTCCGCAATTTCTTCGAAGTCACGAAACCACTGCTTTATATCCATTGTCCCTTCGCCATCAAACGTATACAAGTTTTCTTTCAAATCCTCGAAGGTTAGCATATCGCTCCTACGTCTTCTGTCTCGTGTCGCTTTGAGTTCTGCCTCCGTCTGGCCATGCTCGATCGCAAACGTTATGACAAACCTCAACCGATACTGCAATTCATCCTTGCTTCCAGTTATTTTCATTTTGCGTTTCCGCAACTCCCGCTGCATGTCAAAAACTTCCATCTGTTTCACCTTTTCTAAGATTTTCCTGTTTTCTTCACAGTTTAACGCGGTGATCGTTTTCATTTTGGTCAGCAGAAGTTTACTTTAAACGACTTCAATAATTCGTAGCTTCATCGTCACTGCACAATTGCTCGTCTCAATCCCAGCTCGAGCCCCCAAATTGTAGAGATGGGGGGCGCACAACACAACGAATAATACTGAAACTATTTATTAATCCTAACAACACGTTTATATTCGCAACACTAATACACCTTTTTTCACAACTCTCTCTCTGAACTCTCCTATACTGCACGTACCGCGACCGACTCCACACCCTCTCTCTCTGTCACTGACTGACTGACTGACTGTCCACTCACGCCCTTGCATCCCTATTTAAAACCATCCATTCTATACTCCTTCATACCTATTCTCTCTTTCCAATCACACTTTTTCACGCACTCCTCGCAATCTTACCCTCAGCGGGTCACTCAGCCTAAACACTTGAACGCATTCCTAAAGCCACTCGATACATTCATAAACATCCCGTTCACACGATCCTAGCGCACGATCATTCATCCTTTCGCACGCACTCTAGATAACACTCTCATCCCGCGATACCACACTATTAAATATGTGTGGCCCACAATGTGAATTGAATAACTGAACGTAAATGAAGCAAAATAAAAGTACAGGTCATTTAAAGGGAAATAATAAACCAGATACCTTTAGGGAATTTGAATGTAACAAATAAAGCAGTAAATAAACGAGGAAAATGTTTGTTCTGCTGCTGATATAGTCGCATTAAAGAAGTAATAAGATACAGTTCGGGAAAATAAGTCGTAGTATGTGGAATAATTTGAAATGGCGTAGAGTTCATTGAGAGGTGATTTCAACAGTGAGGACTCTCGTAAAATGGAAGAATCTGAATTTATAATAAATATTCCCAAGCGAAGTACTATGGAAAAGTGTACAATGATAAGGAATATTCGCATATAAATAGTGTCAATAGAAAAATTGCTGTCCTAAGCGAAACATTTAATGTGAGGGTAAATTAGCGGGTAATCTACATAAATGTAAAATGATAAAAATATATAAATAATGTCGATCATGATGACAAAATTCATAAATGAAAAACCAAGAAGACTCCATACTCAAATCGATACAAGTTACCTCGAGTTAATTGCAATCATAAAATATTTGTTTATCTTGGGAGGCGACTACAATGCAATAACTAGGCTAGTAATTACTTCACGTCAAATATGGAAATGAAGTACCAACGAGATTTCAAAGATATACATATGAAAATTTCCGAATTCGATGGTGTTTATCGGGAAAAAATTACCCACCGCCATTACAGCTCCCTTATACGTTTTTGTCCGGTCGGAAGCTGTGAATTAAGAAACGAGACGCGTCATCGCCGTCTTTACAAGTGGCTTTGGCGCTGGCAAATCAGATGCTCGTGTCTCGCGACCAGCGATGGAATGGTATAGTGGATTGTAAGCTGGTCAAATATTTGTACACAACGCACGCGACAATACGTGTACAGTTGCTTAGCCGAACTCGCGAATTATATTATAGCCTGTATTTAACGGTGCTGCATAATAAAATCGCCGCAAGTCGAGCATCTGTATATCTCGCGCTATCGCAAATCCCTGACGAATAGCGGCGGCAATTAAAATGCACCGAAATGGGAAACGACCGCTGCCAAGTCCTATAATCCACCGAAGGGAATTCGGTATTGACAGATTTGCGTATCATGAATCTCTGATTCGCTGACCACTTATTGATCTCGCGCTACCGCAGAGCGAGCAGAGCGTTCTTTTTATGCTATTGCATTAGAATGGCAAATGAGGAAACGCTGGAGGATTTTTCGTTATTTGCATGGCATTTTGTCTATGTTGGGGAATGTTTGATGTAGGTGCGTGAAGCTGGTTGGGCTGACCAAGATCGATGAGCTTGGCGAATGGTATTATATGGTTAGAGAATGGGGAGTTATTACCTTCTAATCGAATTACTGTTTACATGTGTCCTTTGATGGGAAACCCTGTATCTTCTTCGGGGTCGAAAGGAAAAGAACTTGCAGATCCTTTGGAATTGGTATACGACTGGATACATATGATTGAGGAGACATTTGTTGAGATGATGAATAAATGTTATATTTGGAGAGAGTGGTGTCAGATTGGAAAATAAAAAATTGTCAACCTATCATTCTTAATATATTCTTTGTCGGGCTATTTTCAACTTCATACATCTGCAAATATGGGATAGTAGAACTTGCTGTGCAGTATAAAGGAAAGCGCTCCTAGATTTTTATAGCTTTGGTAGAATTTTATGTTGCCAACTTTGGTTGCATATAATGATTTGGTTAACAAATGCTAGATATACAGAGGATGGAAAATAATTTATTTTGGAAGAATTGCTTCAGATATGCCTCTTGATCAAGTATTTATATTTCTTCCTGTCATGTTGAAAGTGTAAACATGCCGTCGAATAATTTGTTAACATGCTCGATGTTAACTTTCTGTCATTCTCTTCCCATAACTAAAAAGAAAACGGGAAAAAGCAATCGAACTGTGAGAAAGGAATTTGAACAGTAATACAATGAAAGTTTCGGAAAAATTTACTAATTCTACAAGTCAATGGAATGCAAATAACTGAAAATAGTGTAAAGATGGTGAGGACTGTAGAATTTTGAATTACTCAATAGAATTCATATTTCCAATAATTGTTTGCGATGGAAACGCTACGAGATTTTGCCCAGTTCCTAATCAGAAATATTTCAATTCGTATTCCGTAGGTGAGACAGTATGTAATAGCTATAATATGTGGGAATTTATAAAAGTAGCGGAGGTATAATGGAAGACGAATGAAGTTAGCAACGTTTGCAAACACGGTGCTATTCGGTGCGCCTGTTCTACGAACAGCAGATCTGCGCTATTCAGTGCTATTCGGTGATCTGCTGTGATCTACTTCATGCTGCTGCGCTCAGCTTTGCTCTACTGTGGTAGCGTTGCTATCTGTTGGGCTGCTGTCGTAGGTGATATTAATCTGTGCTATTCTGTGGCATTTGAAGCTTCTCTACTCCCTCTGCGCCTGTCAGGTCGTCCGTCCCATACTTAGACGAGCGAAACAGACATGCCGGAATCATCCATCCAGTATGTATGCACGCGAAGTGACGACTCGACTGTGAACGTCCTTACCATACCCATGCGCGACAAACTGCCATAAACTGAGGTCGTCCGTCCCATACCGAGATGCGCCGAATCGAGACGACTGCGCACGGCCGGTCCGTAAATAGGCGCTCCGAGCAGGCAGGACTGACATTGTCAATCCAATATCAAGGCGTGCCGAATCATCAGATTGGTATCGTCCGTCCCAAACGTAGGCGTGGTGGACAACCACGTTTGGGATTTTCCAGCCCGTATATTGGTGCGCCGAACCGACACCACAGGGATCGTTCGTCCCGCATGAATGTGCTGCGAACTGACACGACTATGACCGACCAGCCCATTCCAAAGGAAGTGAACAGTCATAAATCTCATCGTCCTGCCTGCACATAGGAGCGCCGAACTATTACCAATGGGATCGTCCGGCACATATCAAGGCGCGCCGAACCGACTCGATTAAGATCGTCCGTCCATATATATGCTCGCGACAAAGCGACACGATTCGATCGTCTAGCCGGAGCGTGTTCTACTGGAACCGACGCTACTGGGATCTACTGGTTCGTACCTATCCGCATAGAACTGACACGCCTGTGGTCGCCTGGCCTATGTCTTGGCGCGCCGATCCGATACGACTGCGCTAGATCGTCCTGCATGTATGCGAGCAGAACTGATACGGCTGCGATCGTCCTTCAAGCATGTATGCCAACCGAACCGGCACTAAAGGGATCGTTCGTCCCGTATGAACGCGCCCCTAACCGTCACGACTTGGATCGTCCGGCCCACACAAAGTAGCGCCGAACCTACACGATTAAGATCGCTCGGCCCTTACAAAGTAGCGCCGAACCATGGCGATCCGAATTGCAGAAACCATACGTAGGTGCGCATGACAGTCAGGTCTGGGACCGTCCGGCCGTTATCTTGACGCGTCCAACCGTCGCGACCGGCATCGTCCAACACGAAATAAAGCGCATCGAACAAACACAACTGGGGTCGTCCTTCCCATATGGATGCTCTGCAAATCATCAGTATCAAGGTGTGCAGAAACGACACGAGAGACATGGGCCGTCCCATGCGAAGGCACGCCGAATCGGCACGACGAGATCGTCAGTCCTGTATGAAGTGCTGATCCGACACCACGGGATCATCCGTCACGTATGTAAGCGCGTCAAAGCATGACAACTGGGATTGTCCAATCCCTATCTTGTCGCGCCGATCAGACATGACTGGAATTATCCGTCTAGTATGAATGCTCGTAGGTTCATCAGGACTGAGTTCGTCCGTTTCATATACAGCCGCCCCGAACAGGGACGACTGTGACCGTCCGTCCCGAATTCGCGAGAACCGGCATATCACGGGTGGAATTGTCTGGCTCGTTTCTAGGTGTGCCGGGCAAACACGATTTTCATAGTCCTGCCCGAGAATAGGCCCGCCTAAGGATCACGACTGAAGTCATCTGCTCCTTTCCTAGACGCACCGAATATGCACGACTGAAATCGTCTTGGCCGTGCGTAGCATCGCCGAATCGACACGAATGTGGTTGCTCGACCCATACATACGTACGCCGATACGATGAGACAGCAGTGTCAATCACGAATGTATGCGGGTAGGAGCACCAGCACTGGGATCGACCATCCCAAATCCTAGTCGTGTCGAAGGGTCACGTCTGGGTTCGTACGACCAGTATCGGGCGAGCCGCACCGACACTCCTTGGTTTGGCTTGTTCGTAACGATTCGTGTTCATACATCGCGTATGGGGTCTTCTGGCACGTAAATAGTATCGCCGAACAATCACGACTGGAATCGTACGGTCCGCACCTAGGCTCACCGAACTGTCACAGACTGAGATCGCCCGTCCCATGCCGAAGCGTGTCGAACAGAGAACACTCTGCTCGTCCGGCCCCTAAATACGCGCGCTGT